GTGAAGCACAGTGAAGCACAGTGAAGCACAGTGAGGCACAGTGAAACACAGTGAAACACAGTGAAACACAGTGAAGCACAGTGAAGCACAGTGAAGCACAGTGAAGCACAGTGAGGCACAGTGAAACACAGTGAAACACAGTGAAGCACAGTGAACAGTGAAACACAGTGAAACACAGTGAAACACAGTGAGGCACAGTGAAACACAGTGAAGCACAGTGAAGCACAGTGAAACACAGTGAAACACAGTGAAACACAGTGAAACACAGTGAAACACAGTGAAGCACAGTGAAACACAGTGAGGCACAGTGAAACACAGTGAAACACAGTGAAGCACAGTGAAGCACAGTGAAACACAGTGAAACACAGTGAAGCACAGTGAAACACAGTGAAACACAGTGAAGCACAGTGAAGCACAGTGAAACACAGTGAAACACAGTGAAACACAGTGAAACACAGTGAAGCACAGTGAAACACAGTGAGGCACAGTGAAACACAGTGAAACACAGTGAAGCACAGTGAAGCACAGTGAAACACAGTGAAACACAGTGAAACACAGTGAGGCACAGTGAAACACAGTGAAGCACAGTGAACCACAGTGAAACACAGTGAAGCACAGTGAAACACAGTGAAACACAGTGAAGCACAGTGAAACACAGTGAAGCACAGTGAAACACAGTGAAACACAGTGAAACACAGTGAAGCACAGTGAGGCACAGTGAAACACAGTGAAACACAGTGAAGCACAGTGAGGCACAGTGAAACACAGTGAGGCACAGTGAAACACAGTGAGGCACAGTGAAACACAGTGAAAAACAGTGAAACACAGTGAAGCACAGTGAAAAACAGTGAAACACAGTGAAGCACAGTGAACAGTGAGACACAGTGAAGCACAATGAACAGTGAGACACAGTGAAGCACAGTGAAACACAGTGAAACACAGTGAAGCACAGTGAAACACAGTGAAACATATAAAGAGCAGTTGTTGCACTATCACCTCCTAAAAGAATAAAAACTCAAACTCTCCTCTGCAGGCCGGTCAGTATGACTCCACAGATGACGCCTCCAGCACACACAGCTGGACCCATGATGACTCATATGTCTCGTCAGAACGGAGCCCCGCAGACTGTTGCCCCATCAAGCACTAACAGCTCCCTCCATGGAGGATCAGGAGTGGGGTGGACCGGGGCTGGAGCCAGACCCCAGTTTAACAACCAGGTAACCCTGAACAGATCGTTTTGTTTCTAAAACTGTCGAACAGAATCAAATATGTTTAATTCTTGTTGTTTATCTCAGTCACTTTGCCTCACATTAAATCAGTCCAGTTGACCTTCCTGTTCTAACCAGCAGGTGGCACCCCAGGCAGCGAAGACCATGTCCCCACAGTTTGCCCACATGGGGGGATTCGGAGGCGGCTCTTCCAACGCCTTCGGTCAGATGCCTACTGGTGCTGCTCCCACCCCCACCAACGGCACAAACTACCCTCAGATGAACCCCCGGGCCAGCCTCAGCACCAACGGCTACGGTACGCTGCTGCACTGCACATCTTTACATTTAAAAAGAACTCATTAGATTACTGCTCATAAAACAAACGGTATGATGCTTCCTGAGAAAAGGAGCTAGAATGAAGTATTTAATTTACTGTGCACTTGACCTATAATCCAAAAATACGTCTACCTTTGAGTTTACTGCCTCAGTTCATGAGCACATCATGTGATGATACATGCAGGCTTTTCCAAGAAAGCAGCAGTTATGATGTAAAAATACAGCCATTAAAGTTGATATCAGTGACATATCTGTTATATAATTGATTACATATTTGTGTATTAAAATCAATAATCAGACAAATTAGCTGCACTACACTCAATGCAATTCATGAATAATGTTATCTTTTCAAAAACTAATTTATTTAATTGATGTCACGTTCACTTAAAGGGATCCATGATTATTTGTAACATTAGACTTTATTTGATAAACATATATTTTAACAGTAAAATAAAGACTGTAAAAATACTGTAGGATGTTTAGTTTTTATCATTTTTAAACTAAAAGTTTAAAAATAAATTACACGGAAGAGGCCATTTTATTTACACACAAAGCATTCTGTGTAAAAGATGACGTGGATAGGTCCTCGGTGCGAGGCTGCTAGCGAGCTATATCCACCCTTAGCTGTTGGCTTTAGTGTTAGCCCCAATGCTTTCACCATATATCTGTATTAGCTCAGCGCTACACATTCTCCTCTCGTCACTGAGGTCCTCCATCCAATGACAGAGAGGGAAACACAAAAATGACTCAGCTGCAACTGAAAATATGGATGGAGGACCTCAGTTTAGCTTGTTTGTCGCGCTAGCGCTGAGCTAATACATATAAGACAATATAGCATCGGCGCTAACGCTAAAGCTAACAGGCTAATCTGAGGTTGTTCTTCCATGAAGCAGCTCTGTTGTCCTCCATCCATATTTTCAGTTCCAGGCTGAGTCATTTCTACCTTCTCCTCTCTGTCAACGCTCTCTGGTTTCATTTAAAAGAGTCGATCATCAGATATTGTCCAAGATTAACCTTCAGGGTGGATATAGCTCGCTAGCAGCCTCGCACCGAGGACCTATCCACGTCATCATTTACCCAGAATGCTTTGTGTGGAAATAAAATGGCCCCGTCTTGTGTTAAAATATATTTTTAAAAATAAACAAACATCCTACAGTATTTTTACAGTCTTTATTTTACAGTTAAAATAAATGTTCATCAAATAAAGTCAAATGTTACAATTAATCCTGGATCCCTTTAAAAGTCATTTATCCTGAGCGATGACCTCCTGTCCTCTGGTCTCAGATGGGTCCCAGTCTGGAGCGCAGTTCCCCTCCCGGGCGGCGGAGGCAGTGTGGCCTCAGTGGCAGGGCCAGCAGCACACTCAGAGCACCGCAGAGCAGCATCCTCACGCTCAGGGAAACCAGCAGGACATGTTTCCTGTGAGTCCCCTCGTGCATCACTCTCCTGCTGCGTGTCACTCCCAGTAACGCTCGTCTGTTTTTCCACTAAACTCAGGACGTGCTGTCGATGCTCGACCAGCCCGCCACCTTCAGCAGCAACGATTTCGAGATTCCCATCTACCCGCCGTACACAGAGTGACGTGTCGGAGCCTCGTCTTCCTCTTTGTCTTCTGCTCTCTCTACACCTCAGGCCCTCTGCTTCTCCCCGCTCCCGAGTGTCGCAGTCTTCCCTCTCTTTGAGCGGCTCAAATCTGCCAGTCAGTTAAAGATGGCGGCAGATGTGCACAGGGGAGGATAATCAAGAATTTACTTCTGCTTAAAGAGTTATTTTCACAGTATTTCAGTTTTGAAAAGAGATTTCTCTAGCTAGCACTACCCAAAGCTCAACACCATATTGTAGATGTAATATCAGTATATTAGATAAATATATTTAAAAAAAGCGCACAATCACCCGACCACACTTGAATATACTGCACAAGAAAAGACACCCTCTGGTAAATGTACACACAAAGGCCTTTTATTCTGATGTCAGTGGGTTTTTTCTCAGGCATAGACTAAGAGACTATATTTAACTTTTTTGGTATTGTGAGGAATAATTTCAGCCAATGACCTAAAATATTGTGGAACTAGCAGGGATTTGTGTTTCCTTTCTTATATTTGACATTTTTGGTTTTAAATCAACAGCACGTCTCTGCATGACGAAACGACTCTCATGGAGAGATTCTGTAGATTCTGCAGTCGGAGTTTTAGTGATTTGTTTTTTTTCTCCTGAGTATTTCAGTGTCACGTGTGCTTCGAGCTCAGCAGAGAAGTGCAGACCAGCTTTTTTTGTACTTTCCTACAGGTTTGTATACGCAGTATGCATCTGTGTGTGTTTCTAAAATGGATGTATGCGGTGTAGCTGTTCACAAAAGGTTGTGAGAATTCTGCCTCGCTGGGTTTAACGTCAAACCCCCGAACACCTGGGTTTTTGTATTCCTTTTGTAAAAGACTGCAATAATTAACAAGCAAGAATTGTGTACTTTTAAAGCCATTTTATCATTTCCTCTAAAATTGTTTTATTTTTTAATGAGAAAATGTGATTTGTTTTGTATTTTATTTGTTGATCTGTTTCCTGTGATTGGTTTGTCGTGGTTTGATCAGGGTATCTGAGATTAAAACGGAGTGAAGAGTCAAAACCGAGCGGACCTACGCATGTGGATTGTGTTTGTTTTGGATCCTCCTGTTTGTGAGTCTTTGCCAGCAGGATCTGTGCCGGATCACTTTCTGCGTCGCTGACAGGAAAGACGAAAAAGTAGCGCTTCTGAAATGTCTCATTTTTAAAGTGTGAGATTTAAAGTTCCGTGTCTGAGTCACAGTCGTGTGTGTCCTGACAGATTGTAGATAATTGTGTTGTTTTTCTCTTTCAGAGGATGGCATGTTGATGATTGTGTTGTTTTTGTTAAAAAAAAAAACTTTGCTCTGTATCCAGGTTTGTTTTTCACATTTTTCTCAAACACAGAAATATAAATATATACTGTATATGTTTATGAAAATTTAAATGAGAAAAAAAATATTTGTTTTTTGTATTAAATTGTTATAATGTGAAGAAAGAGGAGGTTGTGAATTATTTGAACTGCACACACAGTTATGATCATTAATACTACGCTTTCAGTAATCAAAAGTTTGGTTTATTAAACACTAATCTGTTAAAAATCTTAGCTCTGCTAACACAAAACAAAAATAATGGAAGTTAGCGCTGACCGCTCAGCTGACTGTCACCAGGTAAACAAGGACAGCAGGGTGGCCATCTTGAATCGAGTCGGCTCCAGTAATGAACGCCCAAAGTTCCATTCAAATCTGTGTGGCTGTAACTCACGGCTTTCAAAGAAAACATAAAAATACAATTTTATAGCAGGATTTGGACCATTTTTCCATCTCTTTTGTCTTTATGTTAAAATAAAAGTTATTTTCCAGTCAGTAAAGTTTGGGTTGATCACCAGGGTCTGATTACTTCCTGTGTTTCAGAACATTTTAATATGTAGGATGTAAAATTGAAATTCTTATTTCTATGCTTATCTCACAAATATGAAATGGTCATTTTGCACAAAACTGAACGATTCCCCACCCGGTGTGTTGGTTCACGAGACATTTCGCTAAAAGATGCATCTGACTCTAGAAGTTAAGGTCAAAAAGTAAAAAAAAACTTTTTTTTTGTTCTAGAGCCCACATTTTGACAATTCTGGGGTTTAAAAATAGAAGAACTTAATGTTTTAAGACACTTAGCTGCAGTCTGTAATTGAACATTTAATTCATAGTTTTAACAAACTAAAGGTTTTGTTGTTTTAAAGTGTCTGTGACATGCTTATCCTTCAAATACAAAAAGTCAAAGAAAACATTTAAGAAAATTAGTATAATACAAATGATTTCACCCATTTTGTCTCATAACTGGCATATTTTCTCTTGAATTTGGCTCAGCAAAGTGAAACAGGAAGTGACATCAAAGGGGAACTCTAAGAGAAGAAACTCTGGTCTTTGTTTATTGAAACAATCTTATTTAAACTCTTCATCTCTGGTAGTGACTCAACATAATCTAAAGAAACAGATTCTTTAATTATTGTAGCATCGCTCTGTTCACATGCAGACATTCCCCTGTGACATCACTTCCTGTTTCTTCACATGCAAATATCTCAACAACTGTTCATCTCAACGGCGTGAAATTTGTTTTGCAACATGTTATCAATGTTCTGTTTCCAAAAACACATTCACATTTATTGCAACAATTTGACGTCAGGGGCACTTTAATGTTCTGTGCTCACTTCACTTTTACCTCCCGTTAGTTAGCAGTATCACTCCTTTTTTGAAGTCCGGATCAGTTTCCTCCCCCTCTCAACTGGATTACAACTAAAGCGTCATATCCTCTTTCTCCTTAACCTTTTTTTTTCACTGCTCTGCCATGCTCTCTTTTTATGATTTGTTAACTTCTTTTAGAATATATTTTTTCGTACAAGTGTACTGCTGCAGAGGATTTGTTTTGTCCTGTGCTGGGTCATTCAGGTCAATCTTAGTTTAGCCAACATTAAAAACATTCTCATTTGTTGCAACCAAATCGTATTCAGCAATGTGACTCTTTAAGTGATGTGTACTAAAAAAAAAAAGAAAAAAGTAAAGGAACTGTAATCTCAGAATGTCACCAAACTCCTTATTAAGTATTAAGGGAGGCCACAGGTGCCAAACAGGCCACCTGTGTTTGTCTCAGGCTTCAGAAAGAGGCCTGAATGTGTCGATGAAGAGGAGAGCTGGGTGAGATCTTTGAGTTTTGCCTGTTTTGCCACCATGGACCCTCCTCCGGTGGTCTCCAGCCTAGACGTAGACGTGGACCTGGGTTTTGCTCTCTTCTTCTTCTTCCTCCTGTGCTTCTTTCTGCTGGCGACCATTGTCCGCTGTGCCCAGCTGGTGCTGGACCCTTACAGTGCTGTTTCTGTTTCCACGTACCAGGAGGAGGAGGAGGACACGGTCACAGAGGAGTGACACTGCAATAACACAATTTATCTTTTGTTTATGTTTGAGAAACATGTTTCATTTTTGCACAGCTGCCATGACATAATTTTGGACAAATGCTGCTTTTTCCATTGATGTAAGTATTTTTTTTTAAACTAAAGTGTCTAAAGGTGTGTGGAAGCAGCACATCCAACATTTTAGAAACAAACAGTTAAAAGAAAAATATTTGAAAGGATATAAAATTTTTTTTTCCAAAACTTATAAAGTGCATTTCTCTTTTTTTTTCCTGCATTTCTGGAGCACAAAAATCTACTGTTTTGTCACTTGAGGGTGTTTTTAAAGCTTGTAGAATGACAGGTGATTTTTTTTGAAGCAGTAAATGTGTTCCTCAAAACTTAGTTTTAAATTAAAAAGTATTTGTAGATACTTGGAACCCAGTTAAAATTGTAAAACTTTATGTTATAAAGGCCAAGCACTCTTTGAAGGAATGCATATTACCGTACCTGCAGAGGTTTATAGTAACTAAGTACATTTACTTTGTTACAGTACTTAAATAATTTTTTTGAGGATTTGTAATTTTACCAAGTATTTTTTGAAATCGTGACTTTTATAGTTACTTTTAAAACCTAAAAAATGATACTTTTACTTCTTTACTTTAAAGTTTAACTTGTTATAAATTAAATCTGTCTGAACTCATCATGAAAGGAGTTATGTGCTCTAAAAAATTAAGTGTTGAATTTACTCAACTAAATCATTTCAACTATTTCCACTAAACCTAGTAAAGTAAATTTGAGGCGATATACATATTTTATTTTAAAGAAATGGACCAAATTAATCAACTTGGTTTTGTGGAGCCAGTTTGGTTCTGTTAATGTAACAGTTTATTTGTTAGAGAGCATGGAAAAGTATTTTTACTTTTACTTTGCCAATTTTTGTGAACAGTTTTCTAACCTTTACTTAAGTAGGTTTCTCATCAGTAACATTTATTTTTACCAGTCATTTTCTGTTAAGGTATTTTTACTTTTACTTTGCCAATTTTTGTGAACAGTTTTCTAACCTTTACTTAAGTAGGTTTCTCATCAGTAACATTTATTTTTACCAGTCATTTTCTGTTAAGGTATTTTTACTTTTACTTTGTTAATTTTTTCCAAGTACTTTATAGACCTCCGATTAGCTGCTGCTTTTCCTTCCCACGAAAGATTCCCTCAAATTCTGACTTTAGTTTGAATGCTGACCTCACAGATGCCTGTTTATAATAAAAAATATAAACATGGAAACCGAAGCCTCCTGTGTGGGCGGAGCTTGGCTCCTAGTGGAGCAACTCCACGACCGCCCATTTCGGACACTCCGGGACACAAAGCATGCGTTACCCTTTAGCCTTTAGCTAGTATTCATTAGCATTAGCAGCGAGCTAGTTTTAACTCTGCGCGATACAGGATGGACAACAGCGAGCGGTGAGTGCGTTTTACAAATATTAGATTAGACTTTATGGGGGACTTGTGTGTGATTTAAAAGCGACTCTTAACGTTGAAATGTATGCTTGCTTTCCAGCTTTCAGCATCATTCATTCTAGCATTTTCTTTTGCAGCTTGCTAAGCTAACCAGCTAGCATGCTGCTCTTGTTTGTTGTCTTGTGGTATAAATATAACGGAAGTGTTGAAGCGCTTTATGCTAGCGAAAACAAGTCTCCTGGTAGTTTACTCAAGTCTAACGTGAAAGTTGTGTGATTTTTGTTCAGTGAGCTATTTCTAATTTACTGATGCATAATTATGCAGATGCTAATCACATTATTTCTATTTGTCTGATCTGTGAGTTTATGGTTCTTTCATTAGGATTGCAGCTTCTCCCTGTGTCGTGTGTGGATAATTTATAAACAAATTCATTCATTCATAGGCTGGCTGTGGTTGGTGTCCTGAGATTTTCTGCATCTTTGATAAATACTTTGATTTTTTATTCATTTTTCCCGTTTTCACCACAGTAGATAAAATGTTTGATTATAAATCTGTCTGTCTGTACAGTAACAGTCCTGCATTAAATACCACTTTATTTTTAATTACTAGTTTATTTTAGGTGGATATTTTGATCCTGTATTATTGCCTCATACCAACAGATTTTAATCAGCAAAAACAAATAGAGCAAAATCAAAATGTGCAACAAAATCTTTGAAATATCATAGTTAGTTGTCTTAAAGTTGCTTTTAAACACTGCCTAAGCACATATTTATTAAGTGTTTGATATTTTTAACTCCACCACAACATTTGTTAGCTTATTGTCTTGTTGTGTGGCGTTTTATTTTTAATAGGATGCACGATATATCGGCATTAACATCAGTATGGGTCCGACATGCAAAACTGGGCCGATGTTAACGTCTGATATCGATTTCCCACTTTTTAGTTTTGTGTTTCTGTTTTGGGAGACGGTTGGTTTAACGACATTTTTTTGATCATGATAGTGATACTGATGCTGCGCAGCCAGGAATAACTCAAGTAGAGAAACATGTCAGAGGTCTTGTTGTTTATTTACTGCAGCGGTGTCAAAAGTGTGGCCCCTAACTTCAGTTCAAGAATTATACAAATTTGTCCCCCAGCACAGGTGTTTGATGTAGACGGAGACTTTGTATTTTTTATTAGGACAAAATGATCACAAAGTAAAATCTTCTTCCAATAACAAATATTGGCAACAATGTCAATAATTTGTCTTTAAATAACCAGGCTCTTAGCTTTTTCCACATCTMTCCAGTGACTTCTACTGAAAAGCTGATTTTGCTGCACTCCAATCTGATTTTAATGAATTTATTAARTTTGGCTGAATACAGCAAGTATTTTCAACAAAAGAGTGACCTAAATCCTGATTTTATTGATCAGATCAGAACTGACTAAATTGATACCCAGACAACAGCCAAATTTCTTTCACTAAGAGAATTCTGCAAAACGCTTTTAAACTTCTGGGTCTAGATTAATTTACGTATAAATTTCCAGCAATAAATCTGGTTACTTTATTTGTTTAACTAAAGTATTCAATAGGGGTGTAAGAATATCGATACACTGAAATATCGCGATATTTCATTTTCCGATACTGTATCGATATTCTAAAGTCCTGTATCGAAATTTAATTAAGGTTTAAAATGTCAACTTTCCTGCCAGCCGTTCATGTTCATGTTGTAGTTCAGCCTCTGACCACTAGTTGGCAGCAGTGAGCCAGCCATTTGGCTCCTCTACCTCTTGAGCACCAGAGAGTAAGGGTAGCATTAGCATTGTAAGTAAGCATTAGCTTCATGCTCCGATAGCTGAATCTGAGCAGAAAAGACCGACACCCTCTGCCTTCTAAGCTGAGGTAAGGTTACAAACAGTTACTTATTTATCAGAATGTCTGTATTTTAAGACAAAGTAAGTGTTTCGTGCGCTCTTTTTTCCAACTTTAGTCAGCTTTCACGTTACAGAAGGCTAGCGCATGTCTATGTAATAGAATTTTATGAGACAATGAATTTTGGTTTTCTTTTTTTTTCCAGTAAGAGGTTTTTATTTAATAGAATTTTTGGACTAAAAAAAAATCGCAATATTTCACCTTACTTACAGTATCGCAATATAATCGGGATATATCGTATCGTGACCCGTCTGTCATGATGTATCGTATCGCTAAATTCTTGCTAATACACAGCCCTAGTATTCAATGCTTAGTTTATTGTTGAGCAGGTAAAGGAAAAATATTTTTCGACCTCAAGTCCTTCTGACTTTATGATTTTGGCCCATGTGACAAAATATTTGGGCACCCCTGGTTTACGGTATCAAGAAAAGACACAAAAAAAGACACAAGTGTGTTTGTGCGTATATGTATAATATAATTTGTGTGTTTGTGTAACATTGGTAAATATTGGTTATCAGCCATAATGGCAATAATTATATCGAATATCGATATCGGCTGAAATTTTCATATCGGTGCTGTAGAGATCAGGATTTGTGTCTTTGGCTCACCTTTGATCTCGCCGAGTTCGTTTGTCTGAAAACAGCTAAACTGAAAAAATTGTATTAGAAGTTAAAAATAGTTTTAAGTGAAGTTATTACACACTAGGGCTGTAACGATACACTAATCTCACGATACGATATTCGATATTCTGCTCACGATACGATATATATCACGATATTCAGCGAACGATAGGATTCAATACGATTCGATTTTCTGAACGATTTTAGAGGGACAGAGTGATTTTGGTGACATTTTGTGACTGTTCCATAGACTTGAGTTGAATTAATTGAACTGAAAACTGATTAAAAGCACCAACTACACAATACCTGCTCTGATTAGACAGAGACCTAGTCTACAGCTGGACARAATTAATTAAAGATGCGGTGAGAAAATTTGTTGTCTTTAAAGGAAACAGTGCAAGCTATAGCTTACAAGCCTAAATAACATTTGGTTCCATCCAGGTAACTTTGGCCATTAAAGAGCAGATTTTCCCAAATCTTCAGGATTTGTTGTTTATGATGAGAGGAATTAACACAGTTAAAGATATGGAGGTAAATTATTTTGTTCCCATGTTACAGATGGGGAACAGAGTATTTTAAATAACTGAAATATTTGGTTCTTGTATCAGCAATAAAAAAATTATAAATACACACAATGGGCCTCATGCAAGAACCGTTGGTACGCACAGATTTGTTCTTAAGTTGTGCGTACGAGTGATTTAGGAGAATTTGTGGGTTCGGTGCACAGTGCTGCCGCTTCTGAATAAATGAAAATGATTGAACACAGTTGTTTATACTTTTAGCAGCTCTTTTTATCCCACAGCTGACCTGCTAAAAATGACAGATTTTCTTTTCTGGATCTCTGACAGACGGACTTCAATCTCTGAACTCGTAAAGTTTTCTTTTTAATTTTCGCTGTCATTTTCATGAATGAACACTTCCTGATATCTGAGGCAGGAAACATAGCCTTATATGGTGTTTTTGGGGTGGTAATTATGCTAATCTCCTCTCGCGTGCACGAGCAGCTGATACGAACAGGTGGAATTCATTTACACACTTTTCCTGAAGATAGAAGAGTTTGTTGAATCTGACGTGACATGTTCGTACGAACCCTTCGTACGAACAAAAGTAAGAGAAATTTAGGAGAAGAATACGAACATGTTCTTGCATGAGGCCCAATTTGTTGGAAGACAGTGTTTGGTGGCTGACTGATAAATAGTGAGGCTAAAGAGAACATGAGAAAAGTTGGAAAAGGACTGATAAGGACTCATTCTGTGATTTTAAAGAAGGCCAGGTTTTATTTATTTATTTATTTTAGAGTTTTTATTTTTTTTGGCTTAAAATACAAACTTTCTGACTAATAAGTAACTGTTGGTAACTTTACCTCAGCTTAAAAGGCAGAGTGTGTCGATCTTTTCTGCTCAGATTCAGCTATCGGAGCATGAAGCTAATGTTTACTCACCATGCTAATGCTACTGTTACTCTCTGGCTCCTTAGGAGTAGAGGAGCCAAATGGCTGGCTCACTGCTGCAAACTAGTGGTCAGAGGCTGAACTACAACATAAAAATAAACCGTTGGCAGGAAATCTGACATTTTAAACCTTAATTAAAAATCAGTACAGGGCTTTAGAAAATCGATACAGTATCGGGAAATCAAATATCGATATATGTCAGGGTATCGATATTTTCCTACACCCCTATTACACACCAGATATTGAAACAAGACAACCACAACAATTTATAAGAGCTCTCAGAGAAACGGCAGGAAAATCCTAAGCCAACATCACCTGGAGACAGTCCCGCAGCCCCCGGCTGTCTGAATCTGTTTCTGTAGTCCAAAGCTATTAAACTCTCAGTCAACACCCAGAGCTCTGCTTTGTGTTACTTCTCAAGGACAAGCTCTGGGCCCTCCATCACATGATTTACGTTTTTTTTTCTAACTGGTACTAGCTAACTATTGTGTGCTTGTACAATTCCAATAGGTCTCTATCTACCTGCAAAAGTAAAACACAAGAATTAACAAATAGTTCATGCAAAAGTTTAATACTAGTTATAAATGATAATAAAAATCAAGTGATACAAACTACTCATGAAAATCACCCATACTAACAGCAAGTGGATATACAAAGAAACTTTAACTGCCTCCTCCGAGATGACCTCATTCACTCCTCACATTCCACAAAGGCTGTGCTTGTTTTCATTCTCAAGCCACAGAGGCCATTCACACTTCATGTATTCTTACTGTTAGCAAAATATCTCACAAACAAATAACACTATCATAATGAAACTTTCAATAAATCACAAGTGAACTAGTAACTTAAACTGATTAACTTTTGGGGTCAACCCCACCTAAGTTAACCATAAAATGAGGGACTACACATAAAGAACTACAAAGATGGCTGCCACTCTGCCAGTCAGAGACCCAGGAAAATACCTAGTTCTACAGTGCATCCCTATTTTTAACTCCACCACAACATTTGTTAGCTTATTGTCTTGTTGTGTGTGGTTTTTTTAGAGTATTCTTGAAGTCGGAGTGATGTCATTCATTCACGTGATTAGTGCTGTACAAACGATTATTTTCTAATCGATTAATCTAACGATTATTTTTTTTGATTAATCGATTATTCTAACAACAAATCTAAAAGTTATTCTGATGTGAGTGCACTGGAAATTTAAAATGTTTTCATCAAATTAACAAGAACAGTTCTTTAATATTGTAATATTTTCT